ATGAAGTACGGTCTCTACAGGCATTACATGAAAGACTGATGCAGGAGGCTTCGTGTGCCGTGATCAGCTTTACTGCTGAAAGCGTTGTTTAACCACAGAAAAATGTTAAACTATTTCCTGAAATGTTAGATAAACACATTCATATTTTCTGCTAGATTAGATTTTCACTTGAGAAAGCTCCTAATAAACGGTAACTGGAAAGTATTTGGACAAAGCTGTGAGCGTAGCGGTCGCTCGGCCCGGGGCTCCAGTGTGAACTTTTCCAAACACTTGTTTTCTTCATTTTTAGCTGTCGGTTTTCTTGTGATTTCAGAATGTTTTGCTCGACAGGTGTGCGGTTATAATCCTTTTTTTTTACTTGCGTTGACACAATTCATACAATTTTAAGAGTCTCACTACATTTGTGGGCGCCTGTTTTCTCTTTATTTGAATAAAAAAAAGACAGTGAGTAACCTGTGACATGTTCCCAGTCTAGTCCTTGAACAGGCTCAAACTGTAGTGAAATAGAACATGCTCGGAGGGGGGATAAAGTTTAAACGTGTCACAATCGGCCGTTCCACTTCCAGCCCCGGTCACCTTCCCGCCACTCGTGACCCTTTTGGCTGACGCCGACGCGATTCGACGAACTCTTGACACACACCCGACGTATTTCGGCTCGGCTTCTGCAGGATTGTTTACCAGACGCGGTATCTCAGCTGACTGGCCTCACGACTCCGGCGCCGCAAGTGTGTTTCCATGGCAACCGTGCATAGTATTGAGACGAGAGAGCAAAAAAAAAAAAAAAAAAGAGAGAGTGAGAGAGGAAGAGGCTCTGGAGCTAACCCTGAGCACTGTAATATCTTGTTATTTTTCTCCCCCTCTGTCCATTATTTTCCGTGGCAGGCAGCTTAAATATCACATCAGAGCCTCGGTGGCGCTGATTGGCTGCAGTTGAAGACTTTAAAAACCTGTCTTGACCGTGTTTGTGCTTATACAACTTAATCCATTAACATTATTGCCTCTTTTTTTCTTTTTTTTTTTTACATCTCCAGCTCAGCAAAGATGCTATTGATTTATGTTTCAAAAGTTGCTGGTCTTTAGATTTGACACCATTTGCCTGCCAGTGAAGGAGCACAGCTATAACAACGAGCCTAAAGCAAAGCTACGCTGCAGGGGGAACCTTATCACACCGGGTTTTAGATTTAGGGACTAAAAATCTGCAGGGAACAGGAGATACTTAAGACCCCGGTGAATTGAATTTGCAAAATTGAGAACTTCAGGAGCTGGCATCAGTGAATCAGTCGTTCCACCAACTGAATCTGAATTCTCTGAAGATGTTTTTATTTTTTTTTTTATTTTCTCTGCTGCAGTATTTTTAGGAACAGAAGAGAAAGCCTGTTTGTGCATGCTTGTGAAAAAAAAAAAGAAAAGCAGTTCTAATTAACATTAAACTGACTCGGTGTTTATGGAGAGGCTGTTCAGAGCGTTGGCTGGGTCATGAGTGGCCTCGTGCCTGGACGGAGTGGAGGGCAGCATCACTAGATTCAACTGGGATCCAATCAGCGCTCAAGCAGACGGAACGCAGAGTTCCAGCTGATCCTGACAGACAACACGCATCATTAAACAGGAATCAGGAATCTGAATGCACAAATGTCCCGTTACGCAGCCGCATACATACATGTATTGTTTGAATAATAAAAGACAAAATAGATAAAATTCTGCTCCCTTAAATAGGGCACGTTATCTCGCACGCTCGCTGCCGTGCATACCGAGTCCCTCGTACGGGCTTTGTTCAAGTCTTCTTGCTTCATAAATGCTCGAGCGTGAAGCAGCTGCATAAACTTTCATCAGCGCGCTGACCTGCTGCTGTGCAAGAACCCCCGACTCTTACATGCATGCAAGGTGGAAATAGAAAGAGTTTAACTTCTGCTGCTCTGCAAAATAAGCTTCTCGTCTATTTTCGGTGGAAGTAAATATTTAAAAGCAGCAGAAGATGGTGGAGCAGGCACACGGAGCTGCTCGGGGCTTTCACACCGGGAGCACATCAGAACCCAAAGCCATTATAAAACCCAATCAGTTAAATATATAACGATCAGCAATGTGCAGCCCTTTGGTAGCATCTAGTGGCAAACAGAGGGAACTGCACCAAGCGTTTCTCAGCTTCGGATTTGACTTACAAATTTGTAGCCCTGTCGGGTAACTGGTGCAGCTCTTTTGGAAGTTAGAGCACGCTGTTACCGTAGTAGAAATGTCATTAATCACGCTGATGTGCAGCCTCAGAGGTGCTGCATGTAGCTGACTAACGGAGTTTTGCACCAGGAAGTATTGAACACCACCACAGATCTGTCAGTATGTTTCTGGGTCACATATCATAACTCCATGTCTGTGTCAGTGTCATAGATTTGCAGATGTGGAGCGTAATGAAACTCAGCTGAATGTTGTTTTTTTTTTTCTTTCTGTCACGGCAGCATGAAGTCTCAGCAGCAGAAAATCTGATTTATTGATACTGTTCAAAACACTGAAGAAGCCAACGGACACGTTATTATACGTTATATTAGGCAAAGCAGCTGTGAAATGCAGTGATGTGCACCTCTATTACACAATGTCTGCATCGTAAGTGATAAGAAATCATAGTTTGAGTTGTATTTACAGTCGTCCTCAGATTTAATCATCTCCTCCCATTAAAGAAAATCCACCGTAGTCACGAAAATAACTAGAAACTGAAAAAAGTAATAATAAATAAAAATTTGCTAAATTATAATTTAGTGAAATAAGATGTTGCTTTTTAATTGTGATGGAAAAGAATAATTTAAAAAATAAACAAACAAACAAAAGGACTAATCAGAGGCCTTTGCTGATGAGCAGTGGTTCAGAATACCTGTCAACAGGTGCACAAGAGTTACAGGAAACACCTGATGGCAGTGATTGGCTCAGAGGGTTGTTCAACTAAATATTAGTTTACGGCTCCTATCATGCTTGTTTTCTTTTGTTTTTTAATATTTCTGTTGAAGCACAATTGAAAAGCAACGTCATGATGTTCATATGATTTTCATGTATTATTACTTTTGTCAATTTTAACTTATTTTAATCTGTTTTTTTCCTTCTTTAATGGGAGGCTATGAATACATCTGAGGACGACTGTACATGCTCTGCTCACATTTCTGTGTTTTGATCTAAAGCTGCTGCTACTCCAATAATCACATTCTTTAAAGCTGAGGATCAAACAGTGTCATGCAGGTAGTTGAACCAGTTATTTATCATGTTTACTGCTCTGATTTGTCAATTAAATGGAAGTTAAAATACACAGAGGGTGCAGACATTATTGTCTTTTATGCATCAAATTGTGTCTGTTTAAATAAAGTGAATTAATAACTTGTCTGTTTTTGTTCCTGCCTTGAGAGGCACTTTGGATTCAGAGCGCTCTGTAATTAAAGATTATTACTTCCCCTTGATCTCTCCGTATATAGACATTTCTGTCCTTTGCATCAACAATCTGAAATAATTCTACCATTTTTATGCTCGCTAGAAAAATAAAGAGCAGTTGAGCGTCTGATACGATTGCAGCGTCGGTGCCATTTTAACAGTTCAAGGCAACGCCAGGCTTCACATTAAACCAAGAATTATGCAAGTTATTCCTGTCGTTGCTATCCAGAGGTCATTTGTGTCCAAAAATGCATCTGTGATTTTTTTTTTTCTTTTCCGTGATTAAATGCTGCAGCCTTGAGGATGACATGTGCATTACATGATCTAAGCAGCGCAAAGACAAAACATTTAAACCGCTCTGACGCATTATTAACCTTCCAGAATAAACAGTAATGCATAACCCGGTGTGCCATGCAGCTTTCTACTTACAGTCTGCTTTGCAACTCCATTTTATCTACTGAAAAAAAGAGAAATAAATCACCACAGCCAATCCCATGAAGATTTTAATATTCTGTTCTACATCTCTGGTGTAAGCAGTAATATACATCATTAATTCATTTTTTTTATATCATTTATGAGAAAACAGGCAAAGAGCAACACAGACACAAATCCAGATGTCAGCATTAGAAAAACCTCACCAGCATGGGAGAAGCAACCCCCGTAGTATTGATTAATGTGCATTTCCCAGAAGAAGAACCTTTAAAAGTACACAGATGTTTTATTTTCAAGGACACGGGTGATTTAAAAACGAAGGTGACTCTCTGCCAAAAAAAATCGGATCACCGTTGCCTTCCAAAGATGATCAACAGCAGTTTGTTTTTCTCCTTCTTGCATATATGACATCCATTCCTGATGTTGATATATAATAAATAATTGAGGTTAAACTAGGCCAATCCTTGCATTTCTGGGTGTTTTTTTTTTTAATTTAAAAAGTTTTTGAGCCCCGTCCGTCGGAGGTAAATGACGATGTAAATGACGGAGAATGTTTGGCTTCGCACGTCTCTCGAATTTGTCTTGTAAAGTCCGACACCGACCAAGTGTCCCAGCTCGCACGTAAATGCAATGCAAATGTGGAGAAGAAGAAACAACTGAGACTTGAGTGTTTTTACATCTTAGAGGATCTGTTGTTTTTAGACGGTGGCTGTCTGAGGGAGTGTGGGCAAAAGCTTCCACGCACAAACAAATCAGAGACGAATTTACATCATCTTCACGGCTGTCATGTACGACTGTGAGGACTGCGAATAACGTGGGCCTATATTTAGCAATATTTTATATTAATCAGATAAAGAAAATTATAAAACAAAGCAGGATTTGTGCTGCTACATGAGCTCCATCTCAAATATATTCAGTAAAATCACACGAATCGAAGCTGTTCACACAATAGAAGCTGCACTGCACGAGCAGCAAAACCTAAATAAATCTTATTATAGTTACCAAAGAAAGAATATTACTTTAGCGTTCACACTTAATAAAAATGCACTTTCAGGCCTTTGAAACAAAAAACAAAAACCTTAGAACAAAACAAAACCAAAAGCCCAAGGGGAAAAAAAGCCTCCAACGTCAACAAAAAAAAAAAACAAAAGCATAAATAATGAAGTGCTACAGATGGTTTTGTCTCTTTTCTGTCTCTCCTCTCTTTGTTTTCACCTCATCAGGATTGCTCATCAGCCTTTTGGTTCTCTGTTCTCTGTTCCGCGGGCTTGTCCAAGTCCTCAGAGACTGAAGGAGCATCCTTCTGTTGAGATAAATCATTTTACAAATCAGCCGGCCTATCAGTGCTGCTGAAACGGATGTAGAGGGTAAGATTGGATTTTAACTAGGATTTCATATTTGTAAGATTGCTCGAGATAGTGTGTTGGGGTTTTTTTCACGAAACTCACCACGGCTCCGTCGTTTCCAAGAGAGCATGTCAGCCACTTTATGTACTCCTCTCGGACCTGGTGGACAAAAACAACAACACAACAGTTCGGTTCTGCTCGCTCATCACAGCAGCAGATACGAGTTAGCAGGAACGAGATAGAGGTGAGGCGCTACCTCCTTGTTGAGCAGACAGTGGACGATGTAGAGGAAGGTGCCCTGCTGGGAGTTGAGGATGATGAAGAGAATCTGGAAGAAGAGGTTCGTCTGGTACAGTCCCAGGATCCACGTGCAGCCCAGTATGACAAACTGGGCCAGGATCTTGAACACAATTATCCTGCAAAAGTGGCAACACAGACGAGAATTTATTTATTTTTTTAGTGCTTTGAATATTTCAGATTCTAGTCCCAAATCTACCAAACAAATTAGCAGCTAACTGAGTATCTGCATAAGACTACCAGATGCATTCAAAATGACATGATGTAAGTTTCCTGAAATCCTGGGAAAACGTGGGCTAGTCCTGAAACGTTCCTACCTGGTGTCTTTGGATTGAGAGACGTCACTTTTCATGTTGGCCAAGGTGGGTCTCAGACTCCATAGAGTAGCACAGAACAAAAGGCAGTTGAGCTTAAAGGAGGAAAAAAAAGAGGCTGAGATCATACAGCAGCTAACAATCCAACACGGATTTTGACATTAACAGGAAGCAGAGTTCTTTGTAGCTTCAGCAAGTGTTTGAATAAGCTTGTAAACTGTTCAATCACACATCAAACCAAATCTTTACGAGGATATCTCATCTCAAACACTGTCTAAACAAGCATCGTGCAACTTCTTCTTCCAGGTCCATCACAGTGAAACGTGTCATTTTTAGCCTAAAATCCCACAATGCTTTGAGAGTGGAATCAAGTCAGGGAGGGTGAATTTCCTCCAAGATCAGCAGAGCATCGAGAGAGCTTCAGAACAGACATCTTGTGTGAGAGAACAAGTTAGAGAACACTCATTAGTTGCTATACTTTGTGGAAACTGGTATGCGTTCATTAACACACTCACTCCGAGGATGGCGATCACAGGGCCCGTTAAAGCCCAGTTGAAGTCGCGCCGCCTCGAGAGCCAGCACCTGAAACCGAATCGAACGCATTTTTGTCAAGGGAATATAAAACGTGCAGGAGAGTATGAAAGTTCTGCCGCGTCCTACTCACACTTGTGCCTCGGTGGCGCCGTATCCGTCCGAATACACCAGCGCGGAAACGCCCACGACCACGAACGGAACTCCGTAGCCGACCAGGTAGAGCAGCGGCCTGGGGAGACCGTCCCTCTGGATGACCTGCACCTTCGAGAGCCTTCGGACCAGCAAGTGGAGCTGCAGCGCCTCCAGCAGCATCCACACGAAACTGGCCACGACTAGGAAGTGGAGAAGGCCCGCCATGACAGTGCAGGCCAGCTGGAGGGACACACAGAGGGATGTCTCTTTTATCTTTGGTCACATTTACGGCAGGTGTGAAGGCCTGTGAAGTATTTTATTTTATTCTTTTTGCAAATCAGAAGTCAGCATCTCACCTCGTCGTCGACGTATTTGTCGTTGAACAGCAGCAGCAGGTGGGACATCCCGAGGTTGAGGCAGAGGTGAAGACGGGCCGTGTTGTTGATTTTGGGGTTCCAGCTGCACAGGAGGAAGGTGAGGACGGCCAGAGCGAAGAAGAACAGTCCGATGATCACGCACAACCGGTTCAGCCACTCTAAGAAGTCGCTTTGGGGCGGAGGCTGAAAGCGCAGAGAGATAGATGTTGATCGATGTGATCTTGGGTCGGTGGCTTTTGTTCTCGTTGAGAAGATTTGAAGGGCGCTGAGGTGACCAGTGGATGAGTTTTAGGCTTCATGGGTCATGTTCAAAGAGACCTGAAGATGGATGTAAATAGATATTTCCCAAAACCTGAGAGTGTTTGCCAAGAGGAATGAATTAAACTACTCAGGTGGTTCCACAAAGTGCTGGATTAAAGGAGGGGTTCAGTGCCAAAGTGGGCCAAACCACAAAAAATCCAAAGTTGAGTTTTATGGTTTGCTGACAAGTGTTTATGGTCGACTAGTTCGTCCAACCAGCAGCCCACTAGTAACGTCATAACGCCACTTTGAAGTTTGGCCCATGATGGTTCTGCCATAAAAATTTAGTCTCAAACTGGACCAAGCCACAGGAACCGCTGACCGTTATATCACAGCTAGTTGCACCGTGTTTGCGATTCAAGATGGCGGACAGCGCGACCTCAAACCCTGTAAAAAAAAAAACTCAACTCGTAGGTACGGTAAGGTAAAATAAAACCTAACCACCACCATGCATCTATTTCTACCCCATGGTCCTCAAAAGTAGCTCCAGTTCCTGATGATGGAAACTCTTCAATGCTGTTTAGTGAGACAAACCTGGAATCAGTAGTAAATGTGGTACGGCCCGCTTTGGCAAAATTAAATAAGTCATCACAGAGCAGCTGCTTCTATCTCTGGACAGCGTTGAAACATCTTTGGATAATGACTCCTCCAACAACCAGGATGCTTTTTTAGCGACAAAATTCTGACCCCATGTTTCTCCAAAACTAGTAAATGTGGTTTGGCCCACTTTAACCCCCTCAAAGGTTTAAATACGTTGGAAACTGGGAGATTACAGTTCTGTGTTGTATGAGTTACTGAGTGGCTGCAGGAGAAAAACAGTAATTTTATCCAAGAAGTCAGTGCAGTGTGTAACTCGTTGTTGGGATTTTCAGAATTCTCTACTGTGTTTCTGACCATAATGCATTTTTTACAACGGAGCTGGCGTTTTGAAATACCTCCCCGATCTGCATGATGAGGGCGAAGGTGGAGAGGTGAGAGCAGCTGCACACCGTTAGGTTTTCATCCGAGTACGCCACCCAGCAGCCGTCCACTGACCAACGCATACTCCCCTCCCCTTCCTCATCCTCCTTCTTGCTTTTGTCCTCCCAGTACACACAGGTGAGCACTCCTGAGTCGCGTACTTCCTGCAAAAAACAACAACAACAACAAAAGACTGGATACGTGAAAAGTCTTTTTTTCTTTTTTAGATGAACACACAGGAGCACGATGCTACAGCTGCACCTTGTGGTAGATGGTGAAGTTGACGGGCTCTGTGAGGTTGACGTGGCCCGTTTTGGGTAGTATGGCGGTGAAAACATCCGAATACATCTCCGTCCCGTTCTCTGTTTCAAAGTATCTCTCACTAAGGAGGCTCTCCAGCCCGTTCAGCGTCATAAAGGCGACTGCTGCAGGACCTGGGGGTGTGCACATCACAAAAGAAATGAACAAATCGGACTTTTTTTGCACTTCATTTCTTACACTCTGCTCTCTCACCATCGTTGGCGCTGGGTAGAGCTCCCATGTTGATATCCATGCTCATTCCTTGGGCAGCGAGGTGGGCCCTCTTGTTGGGATGACTCCCGGGACCAACGACCAGAAGGTCCAAATCTTGTACGTGGAAAAGGTTTTTTAAATTCACCGTGATTTCTAATACAGCTCGTTTAGACCACAGCGGAACCTCCTCTCTTACCCACTGTCGAAGTCTTCAGTGCTTTTGCGGTGTCATCCGTAGTTGGTGGAATCATGGCAGCGACCAGGCGCTCTGAGATGCCCAGGATGACGCTTCCAGTCTCTCCGTCTCCTTCGCTGCTCAGCTCTACCGGCATGGCGCGCGGTCCAACACCAGACACTTCCTGCGACAAACGAAGCCCGTGTCATCGGAAACAAAAATGCAAACACAAGACATGACGTATGGGTGTTCAGTACCATGGTTGCAGAAAAGCTGTTTGCCACCATCTGCAGAGAAGAACAGAGGGGATGGTGTTAGATGAAGCTGTGGCTTCTGGCTCCACACTTATAACGGCTCGGAGCAAGTTTTTCAACTACGTACCCCTTCTGATAAGAGGATGTTGGTGTTGTTCTTCAGTTGTGCGTCCAAGATGTTGAGGAAAGCTCTTTCTTTTGTCTGACCCTGCAACAAACGTGTGTTTAGTATTTCTTTGCTGCACTGCGCTGAATGCCGACTGAAGTACTTTTTATGATCTCAAGAGACTTTTTTTGTTCGTTGAACTAGCTTACAAGATCCTGAAACACCACTGTTCAACTTGAGAGGTTTGTGTGGACGTTGTGACGTATAGCATGAAAATGAATCAGTGGGTCCTACCTTGGGGGGGTCGATTTCATCCAGAATATCTCTCAGACCTGGTTATAAAATATCATGTGTTAGCACTTTACATTCTCATTAATCCTGAACTATTAAGCTTGACAATGCTCACTTCTACAATAGGTGCCTTTCTCCCACACGATTCCAGACGAGGGGTAGTATCCCTCGGTGCAGGAACAGTAGTAGCTTCCCTCTTCATTGATGCACACGGTTCCTCCGCCACATATGTCAGGAGTTTCAATGCACTCGTCTATGTCTGTGGAGGAGAGAGCATGCTGCATATCTCAATAACACAACCGTGTCAAACAAACAGCGGCCGAGAGAACGCACCTATGCACGGGTTGGTGGAGCTGGCTATGACAGCTGGGTCGTCCACCCGATAGCCAGGCAAGCACTCGCAGAGGTGAGAGCTGATTATGTTTGTGCAGATGGAGTAAGGTCCACAGGAAGTGTGCTCGTAAAGACACTCATTAAGATCTGTGAAAAAATAAAGAATGATGATTTTCCCGACACTGGAGGGAGGGAATGAGGCTTTTAAATGAAATGCAAGCTGCTACTGAACTACTGAATTGCTGTCTTTTGGGCGACATGTACCCCGGAGAGTTTTACTGAATCCTTGCACCACTTCCAGCTTTTGGCACCACACTAAAATAAGTTTCTACTGGTTGATTTTAAACAAATCTTGCTTGAATCTTTCGTTCCTTGTTCTCGTTCGAAATTGGACCAAAGCGGACAGCGATACATGCACAGAGACTGTTCTGCTCTCGGGTTTGTCAAATACCAGTGCAGATGTTGGTGTTGCTCAGCTTTTCGGATGGATCAGTCGCAGTGAAACCCTCTGTGCACGTGCAGGTATAAGATCCAAGTAGGTTGGTACAGACAGACTCAGGACCGCAGATACTTCGGTCAACACACTCGTCAATATCTGAGGAAGAAACAGGTACTCGAATTAAACCGAATACTGGCCAGTGAGCATGTTTTTGCAGATTACCGTGTGTTGTTTGAACCACTACATCACTAGATTTAGTATCATAAAGTACAGTAAAATGTGGACCTTGGCAATCAAGGTTCTTGGTAGATACACTGTGAAATCCTGTAATGCAACTGCAATAAAAACTTCCAGGTGTGTTGTAGCAGCCCTCATGTTCTCCACACGGGTATCCTTCGCATTCAGAAATATCTAAAGAGAGAAAATGACAACAGATTTTTTGCAAACTGCATAAATGTGATGTAATTGCAGCAAAGAGAGAGACACATATTTTAGTGGTACCTTTGCATTTGTTGAGCAATCCGACTGGACTGTCTGAATCTGCTGCATATCCTTCCACACAGCTACAGGTGAACGAGCCAACGGTGTTCACGCAGTCGGAATCGGGACCACAAACTGATGGGGACTCCTCGCACTCGTCGACGTCTGACAAGATGGCATACTATCAACAAACGGTGTACTTCAAGAGCGCTCTTGACTGACTTGTAGCTACATTTTCTTCACTTTTGTCCCACTGTGATGACGCTATAGATGCATGACGCTACAAATATGTACATGTTGACAATCAGACCCAACCAGGATGTCGGGGGGTGGCTGTTAAATTTTATGCCTGTACTCACCGCCACAGCCGTATGAATCTCCAGTAGGCTCGTAGTTCGAGGGAATTTCAAATCCATTAGCACAAGTACAGCCTCCTATCGAAGAACACACAGCAAGTGGCCCACAGGAGTCCTCCTTACACTCGTGATGATCTGAACAGAGGTCAAATGATTATAGCGTGGCAATAAGTGACAACAGAAAATAACCCTTTTATCACTTGTGTCCAAATAAAGCAATTTTGGTACCATATTATGATCCAGAAAATACCAGTGACGTGACTTTTTTTTCTGCTCCTGACCATTACAAACACAACAAATAATACGTGGTTCCACTATTCCTGAGAAGTCTGATGTCCTTTTGAGTTGTGTCACAATTGTATGAAACTTTCTGCGAGCGGTTCATTGAACTGAGTCTTTGGCAAACTCTTCTTTGATTGCTGGCGCTTTTTTTTTTTCACTGTCACTACTTCAACTACAAATCATTTCTTCTTCTTTTTTTTTTCCTCCAGCTGTTCAAACTTAAACGACATAATGTTTGCATCTTTTTTTTTTTTACATGAATACAATTCAGGCTGCAGGTTTTGTTCAGCACAACGCGTCATCGTTTTTCTTTTAGTCATCAACAGCCTCGTTATTTAGTCAAAATGTTCTTATGTGTGTTCCAACTCACAGGTTACGTAGCCCGTAGAACTTGCTCGATGGTTTAATGGCTTGAACACGTAGAATCCTCCAGGACACAAACGTACAGTCACGTCTATGCTTGTCCGTTTGCAAGTATATAAAGAAGGCGTATAAGCTATGCCTGTCACGGAGGGTGCAGCCTCTGATGTTGGATACGGAAATGGAATATAAATCGGATAGACGGTGCCACCAATAAACTGTCGATAACATTCTGTAATAACTCTGTCTCCTCCAATCCCCGTGAAGCGCACCCATTTGCCGACAAGGTCGTCGTCTGCGTGAGGAAAGTTTTTGAAAGTAATCGATTTAAACTGTACGTTGCGCGATGGCTGGGTTATGTTGATGTATGTCTCGCAGGGACCTGCAGGTCACAAAAATAAAACACGCTGGGGTTATTTCATCCATTGTTCAAACCTGTTTCGTGTTATCTGTAAATTTGAAGGTCATTCGTACCAGGAGTGAGCTCACAAAAGACCGGAAGGAGGAGTAAACCTAACAAAAAGGAAAATATTGGAGTGAAGCAGTTGCTGCTGCATCAACAAGACACATTTAGATTTATCTTAAAGTACCAGCCGTATCTTTAGAAAATTGTCATTAAAGGCACAAGTCATAAATCTAAAACAAACCATATTCTATCTAAATAAATGAGCCCTGGCATGAATCAAAAAAAAAAAGGTTTCCTCAGATACTTTCAGTTAAAAAGTTCTCAAGCACGAGCCCAAAAATATGCACTGACTTACTGAGCAGAAGAGGCGAGGTGCAGTCCATGGTTACATGTCAGGTCTGCCGATCGGTGCTCACTGTGAGAAGTTTATATTAAAAAGAAACGTGCAAAAGGGATTATGGTAATGCAAAAATAATGCAAATTCACTGACTTCAGGTGTTGGATAGAGGCGAAAAGGGCAAGATGTCGCCTAGACTTGGTGTCTGGCGTGCTTGTATGTGTTTTTAAACCCAGCACCTGTTTTATATTTGTACAACCTTTATTCTATTTGTGAAAATGCAAAACAAATTATAAGAAAGAGGCATTGTTGTACGTTGGAGCAAAACACACACACACACACACACACACACATCTGGGCATGATATCAACTGGCGGTTAAACATACTTTCCAAAATTTTAGATTTTTTATTTTCTGTTAATGAAAACGTGGAAAAAGGGGACATTTTACAGTTTTGTTTGTTTGTTTTTGCCTCGTCACACCTGGACTACATGATGTCAGACAATCCAGAACCTCTAAAAAATAATAATTTTAGTTTGACATCGTAGGAGACACTTTATTTTTAGATCCAGTTTAGTTTTAGGCACCAAAACTTCTTGGTTAGTTTTAAAATTCACTTCATATGGTTTCTGCTTCTCCTCCATTTTCTGGGTTACCATGGCGATGGTGACAAAGGAACAACATTTTGACCTGTAGTCAGTACCGTTAACAGATGTCTGTAGATCAGAACTGTGCTGCGTCAGCCAAACTTTTACTCAGATTAGTACGACACTTGCCTGTAATCTGAGTAGAAAAGTTCTTTATTGTCAGTGTGGAAGCAACGCTAAAAAGACATATTATGTTGTTATTGTCTCCTCCTCTGTGGCAGCAATGCACAAGTAAAAAAAAAAGAGAAAAAGAAAAATGGAATTCCATAAATGACTCACCCCTGGAGCCACGTTTCTGTGATGTTGGTTCATCCGTCACGAGAGCCTGCGTGTGTTCAAACAATGAATCACATGCAACAACTTTAACTTCCAGTGGTCGCTTAGACAATAGATTTTGGCTTCATCTGAAGTAAATATTCACTCCACAAGAAAAGATATTGGCAGCAGGTATGACAAATAAACCTGGAACAAAAAAAGAGACAACGGGAGGTTATGGACAATAAGCATCTTAAAGCTTTTATATACTGACAGGTCATTCTATCGCTTCCTCTTTTCAACTAAAAGATTCCATCTTTATTATTTAAATGTGTACATTTAAATTAAATTGCATCCAAAGTCACTAAACAATCAATGAATTAGAACAATGTCTTTCTAAAGTCGATACTAAAGCTTGAATAATTATCATTTCTAAATAGATTTTCAATCAGCTTCGTGCGGTGTCGTCTAAAAAAATACGAAATAGTCACACACCACATATGTGAAAACACAGAACTACTTACCGAGGGGACGTGACGAACCTCTGTGTAGAATCTGGTGATTAGTTCATGCAAAAATCAAACATAAGAGACGTATGCAGAGGCGGGGAACCGTCCATTACAGATGTGTGGCTGTAATGAAGCAGCGCTGCTCATGTGTTGTCTGGTCCACTGGTGCCGTGTGCAGACGGATCCCCCTCGTGTCTGTTCAAACTAACCTCTGACTGAGTTGTTGTTCCTCCTTGTTTACAACGCTGATCATCTTACTTTATGTGCAGCCACTTATTTAGTACGAAAGGTTTCTGCACCAGTTTGAGATATTTCTTTGCTTTTTAAGTTTACAGCAGTGTTTGATTAAACCAGGATTAGAAGCCATGATCCAAAGGAACAGCAGTCACCGTCCACTAAAGCACTTCTTGCACCATTTAAAACTTAAAAACGTTGGTAAATAGTTAGACAAGGATACAAAATAGCATTTATTGACAGCTTTCGTTGTCTTTTTTTTCTTCTTGATATTAAAATCTTTTAGCATTTAAAGGGAGTAAAAAAGTTCTTTGTTCACTTTGTTAAATGTGTGTAAATCTGGACAATCCCACAGAAGTGCAGGTGTTGATATGTGAAGAGCTCATTTGCATAAACAGATAATTCCATTTCTGTAGATTTTCAGAAAACAGATTTTTGTTGTTGTTTGCTTGAGATAATATGAATCAAACTGAAGCTGAGTGGGTTTGACTCAGTGGAAATGACAACAACAGAGATAACTGAAGTTTGATTGATGTTGGAGGGCTGCAAGGTGGAGCGGTGGTTAGCACCGTCGCCTCGCAGCAAGAAGGTCGCCAGTTCGCGTCTCGTCTCGTTCGTGGCGTTTGCATGTTCTGACCGTGCAGAGTGGGTTCTCACCGGGTTCTCCGGCTTCCTCCCACAGTCCAGAAACATAAATTGTCCGTAGGTGTGAATGTGAGTGTGCTTGGTTGTCTGTCTCTAAGTGTAGCCCTGTGATAAGACTGGTTACCTGTCCAGGTGAACCTGCCTTCACCCTGAGTCAGCTGGGATAGACTCCTGCGACCCGAGTGAGGATTAAGCGGTGTATAGGTAATGGATGGATGATTGATATTGTCTCAGGCAGACGATGGAAAGTGGGTTTTCTGAAGGCTTGTGAAGATGGAGTTATCTGTTTTTGCAAATGAACTCTTCATGAGTCACGAGACGTCTCTACTCCTGTTTGTCAGTTCAGGTTGTTTGTCAAAGTTTCATATTCCTACCAGTGATTCCAGCGTTTAACGCGTGTCGCTGTCTGTGGCGGGATTGTTTTTCTGGCTGAATTAATTTAAGTAATGCTTATCCTGGCAGCATCTCTGCTGCATTGAGGCTTTGCTCTACTTAAGGCAGAGACATTAAGTGTGTCAAAGTGCATGCCGGCACATGTACAATGACATTTATCGTTCCACCACCAAAACAAATGAAAAAAAAAACTTTTGAAACGATTTAAAAGAAATCACTTAGTTAACAAGATAAACTGAAAGTTGTGGAGTTTGCTTCTCCTGACAGCGAACGCGTAGTCTGATTTATTTTTAGACCGCTAGGAGAGTTTTCTTGTAAGACGGGAGGTTGCAAATCTACATCTGATGCCGTGTAACAACAGATATGTAGAAAAGGGTGCAGACTATTCGCAGTAAAGCGATCTATAGTCGCATAATTGCAGCAGCAGGAGTCTTTTCAAAAGGTGTGCAGGAGCCTACACTCTAACACAAGGCTGGCTCATGGTAAACAGCAATTTGCAAATGCTTAGCATGAATTTAAAACTATTTGCAAGTTCTGTAAGCTTTAGTTAAATTACATTTCGAAAGGCCGCAGCGTAAACGCAGCAACTAGGTCGAGCCTCAAAGCGCCTTTTTGTTACAGACCTGAGACCTGACAGCTCATCTACCAGCTTATTATATAGAATACAGCTCCGTCTTTATGCAGCTTTCCTACGTTGTTATGTTCATTCATAATGTTCATGTACATTCTCCATCTTTTCAACCTAAACCGTAATCTAACTTGTCCTCTTCAACCTGAAGATGAGCAGCCGGCACTTTCATTCAAGGTGTTGAAATAATAATAATAATAATAATAATAATAATAATAATAATGCAAGTTTTTAGGTTCGCTCATCAAAGAATCGCTGCTCCTCTGTTGATGGATTTGTTTTTTCCTTGAGTTATTTATTTAGTATTGTAAATTATTATTTCCTCTCAGAGTTGCTTGTTTTGGCAAATTGAGGTTACCTGCAGTTTAATTCAAGCTTTTTGATCTGACAGGATGAAGCTCAAGGCTGAGCGCTGTAATGATCAACACAAAAAACTCTCACCGCACCAACAGCTACAGAGGAAGTGCACAAAAAGCAGCTTTGTCTGTGACCGTCAAACAGCCTGAATGTGTCTTTGGGGTGTCAAAACCATTTTTCAGTAAACAACTCTGAAGCAAGCGCAAGTTTATTGTGGATTTAAAACAACAAAAAGGTGCACAAAATATACAAACGCGTTGACAAAAATACTGCTTATATGTCATGCAAGAAGCTTTATAGTACAGAGCGAGTGCAAGTAACTTTCTTCCACACCGACGGCAGCAAACACATGCTAATCTAAAAAAATAACAGACGAGATGTAGGCGGAAAGTTGGAAAAAATACGACAAAAGTTGCTGTTTTACTCGCTGCTGTGATTTAATAATCCTAAAGCTATGTACATATGAGTATAAATTTGCAGTTTAAGTTCTGAAATGATGCCCAAATAACCAACCACAGAGACTTATTTAAAGGAAAATGACAGCAATATTGATGGTAATGCCATTTTTTTCAAGCGCACATCATCAAAACCAGAAAATGCCGAAGCAACAACTATAACAGGGGTGTCAATCTCAAAAACACAGCGGGCCAAAATTTAAAACCTGAACAAAGTCGCGGGCCAACATTGAACAAATGAACCTTTTAATATGGACCGAAACAAATTTTGCTTTAACATTGCATATGGAACAAGCAACACTTATTACCATACATTATATATAACTTAATAGTGGAGACATGCAAAATCTAATGATAAATAAAAAAACACATCAATGGCACAGTGACAGTGTGAAGTCGCTCTGCCTACTGTCACAGAGGAGAGGGAGTTTCTGGGTCCTGTCCTGATTGACGCGCCAAAACAACAACAGGGCATTATGGGATTTGTAGTATTAGCGGTGAATGCGCTGTACAGTATAATACCGGGGGCAGCTCTAGTAGTCATTTGGTATTGTCTCGCGGGCCAAATATAATTACAAAGCTGGCCAAATTTGGCCCGCTGGCCAGAGTTTGACACCCCTGAACTATAAGATAACGTGTAACTGCTCCACTCAGCTCAGCGCCTTTAGCTTGTCTGTTAGTCGGCCTTGTCCATGTCCTCAGAGACAGACGGCACGTCTTTCTGTTAAGATACACAGTATTTTACACCGTTAGAATAGTGGGAACGACATTTAAAAGAAACTATAGACACAGCACAGGTAGGAGCGTGCAGGATGCACTTTGATTTACTGTGTTGTTGTGCATTATCAGTATGATTGGGGGATTTCCTTTTTTAAATTGTGCTGCCCAACTTCATCATTCTGTCTGTTCAGTATGCTGCTTTAGTAGTTTTGCTATTAAGAAAAATCCGACTTCAAATGAATTAAGGGACACACTAGAAATATTTTAAATGTTTCCTAGTTTTTAAAGGAGTCTCATACGTCTCTGTTTTCTCAGTCACACTCACCACTGATCCTCCTCCTTCTCTGGGCTTGTTGAAGGAACAGGTCAGCCATTTGATGTACTCATCTCGCACCTAGAAAATGGAGTAAAAGACAACTTGTTTTAGTTTGCGTTGCACACACGCCGACACTGTACAGAATTTATATTCATATGTAATAAACCGCAGTTATTTAACCCCCCGTCTATTTGTGTAAATACCTCCTTGTTGAGCAGACAGTGGACGATGAAGAGAAAGGTTCCTTGCTGAGAGTTGAGAATTATGAACAGAACCTGGAAGAAGAGGTTCGTCTGGTACAGGCCCAGAATCCAGGTACATCCCAGTATAACAAACTGGGCCAGGATCTTGAACACAATCACTCTGCAAACAGAAAGGATTTACCAGAATTAATCGATCATACGTCAGTGTTTTCTAATGTCACTGATGATTACGTAACTTTTTTTAAAGTGTTTTTTCGGTCTCCCCTGCCGAGAGACAATCTTTGCATGCAAACAAATCAATTTCATCCATCCTGCTTAGTCATTCATCAGATGAAGTGGACACCACACCTCGTGTCTTTGGACTGAGAGACGTCGCTCTTCATGTTGGCCAGAGTTGGTCTCAGACTCCACAGAGTAGCGCCGAACAGGCCGCAGTTAAGCTGGTAGAAGAAACACATTCAGATTGAGTTTGGAGGTGACGGATGGTCCCTTTATGAAAACATAATTTTATTCTATCTAAGGATTTAAACGTAGTTACAGACTCACTCCGAGGACGGTTATCACTGGTCCTGTTAGAGCCCAGTTGAAGTGTCTTGTTTCGGACAGCCAGCACCTGCAATTCAAAGACGTATGTATTATCCAGTCTTACACAATAAGTAATTCAGCTGAGTAGACAAACATTAAAGGTGCTATATATAAGTATTTAACTGCCCTTCCTGACCCGGTCACTGCTGATATTGTCCCTCAGCTGCCTCTCCAGTGAGTCTCGTGTTGCAGACGATTTCAGCTCCACCATCTTGAGCTGCAGGTGGCGACTTTGGTCTCATCACAGATGGGCTTTTGTTGTTTCTCAGCAGCCTGTCTTTTGCAGTTTCTGTTTGGCCGGGCCTTCCAATTGCAATCGATCTCCCGGAGCTTAGCACAAGGAGTAATATCGGCGGCAAGAGGTCACGATGGCGGAGTTTGGAGTCCATTGCAGGACGAGAGACTCGCTGAAGAGGCAGCTGAATGACATCAGGCACAACAGCAACCTGGACAGCCTGCAGGTAGGAAACACTAGAGGGGGCAAGCTGGTCAACATACAACAGTCAGATCAGCACCGTCAATGTAGAAGACGTAGCGAATCAGAGGACCCTGGTAGCTGAATGGTAGCAGCATCATGAAGGCCTATGTATGGTTTCCTGTGCGACGGTTGATGCCGATGAAAACAGACGCACATGGTTTTATTTATGCTACGATCGGCATGAATCAAGCAAACGGTCACTTTGCCCTTCATATCAAACACCATAGAAGGCTCCTGTGGGTGTTTCTCAAAGGCTTTGACTTTCCACTTTGGTCTGTAGCATCATGTCAGTGTGATTGTGCTAAGAAGGAAAAGGCTGACATAGCACAGAATGTAGAATTTCCCACTGGGCTTTGTAAGATGGAAAGTATGTCGCTGCAAATGAAAGCACCTTTAGAGGCCGGAAGTGACGAGTTAGTGCAGTTAGAACTCTTGGAATGATGAATAAAGAGGTGTGGATGATGGAGAAGCTTCTCTGTCCTCAAAACAAGCATTTGCTTTAAGCACCATATGTTTTGGCACTAGCGCAGTATCCGTGCAATCACAATGTTGGGGTGCATGTGGACATGTGAGGAAGAGTTCACGTGGACCTTCGTAAGCTTAGGTAAAGTACTTTATGGACACATCTGGTTCGATACCTCTCACTGTCACCCCCAATGAAAGGCACAAAACACCAAATACGTCTATAAAACAAAACAGCAGAATGAATCCAACTGTATTCCTGTTTGTTCTACTCACACCTGTGCTGCAGTGGCGCCGTATCCATCAGAGTACACCAGCGCAGAAACGCCCACAATCACAAAAGGAACTCCGTAGCCGATCAGGTAGAGCAGCGGCCTGGGGAGACCGTCCCTCTGGATGACCTGCACCTTCGAGAGCCTTCGGACCAGCAAGTGGAGCTGCAGCGCCTCCAGCAGCATCCACACGAAACTGGCCACGATTAGGAAGTGGAGAAGGCCCGCCATGACAGTGCAGGCCAGCTGGAGAGACACAGAAAGAGAACCTTGAAACCGACCGGATCCTTCTCCGAACACCTTCAGCAGCAAGTGCTCAGCTTCATTAGTGCATCTCAGTCCGACTGTACCTCGTCTTCAAGATATCTGTCGTTCCACAGCAGCAGCAGATGAGAAAAGGCGAGGTTGAGACACAGGTGAAGACGGGCCGTGTTGTTGATTTTGGGGTTCCAGCTGCACAGGAGGAAGGTGAAGATGGCCAGAGCAAAGAAGAACAGTCCGATGATCACGCACATCCGGTTCAGCCACTCTAAGAAGTCGCTGTCAGGCGGAGGCTGAGAAAACACAAACACACCAGGAAAAGGTTAGCGTCGTCAACGTAGCATTTACTGTTGGAACCAGTCATAGTGAATGTGTATGCCGTGATACCTCTGCGATCTGCAGAATGAGGGCAAACGTGGAGAGATGAGAGCAGCTGCACACCGTGTAGTTTTCATTAGTGAATGCAACCCCGCAGCCCTCAACCGACCAGCGCCTGATCTTTTTGGCTGCCGCACCCAGACTTTTGTCCTCCCAGTACACACAGGTCACCATACTAGCCTCAGGTACCGTCAGCATGTTCATCTAAACCAGAGAAACAAAGGATTTCAGATTTGTTGAAAAAAAGAGGCCGAGTTAGCTCAAAAGCGGAGAAATTTGGCAGCACCTTCTTGTGTTGGATGGTGAAGTTGACCGGCTCGGTGAGGTTGGTGTTGTTCATGGAGGGTAAGATGGCGGTGATGACGTCGGAGTACATCTCCGTCCTGTTCACTGTCTGGAAGTACGTGTGACTGAGAAGACTCTCCATGCCATCTAATGTGAGGAAGGCAGCTGCTGCAGAACCTGGGGATGCCCACAAGGTGGAGGTGACCAACAACACTTTAAAGAACCGGGCCGGAGGTTTTCAACGCTGCAGCCCATTTCAGTTTCAACATCAATTTTAAATGCATGTTTCCTATAAAAAGGTATGTTTTGGCCTGCTGCTCTCTGCCACTATGGCTTTTCTTTAACCTGTATTCTTTGGCTTTTTCTCACCGTTGTTGTTTTTGGCCAGGCCGTCCAGGTTGATCTCCATCATGTTTCCTTTGGCTGAGAGCGAAGACCTCTCTCCAATGTTGTTTCCAGGCCCGACAGTTTCAAGGCTTAAATCTTAACACACAAATTAGAGGTTCAGCAGCCTGATTTTACATTCAACACACTACACACAGAGTGAATATCTGCTGTAAGCTAAGACTAACACACCCAGAGTTGAACTTCTTATGGTTGTCTTGTTGAGGTTCTGACCCGGCTGCACCATGGCAGCGACTAAACGGTCAGAGAGACCCAGGATGAGGCTACCGGTCTCCCCGTCTCCTTCGCTGCTCACCCCCACCGACCTGGCGAGCGGTCCGACACCTGACACTTCCTTCAACAGGTGCAAATATTTGGGATAAATGAGCCGATGATGGAAACAGAAAGTGGGATAAATGTCTCGCGTGGAACAACACGTACCATCGACGCCGATAAGCTGTTTGCCACCGTCTGTACAGGAAGCAGGGCGAGACGGGAGACAGAATTATGTAAAAACAGCTTAATCCTAATGTGAAGCTCCGCACACTTTAAGAAACTACTGTATCTAAACAAAATGACAAGACTGTGTGACAAGACTGGCTACGAATCTTATTTAAAACAGAAAAACTTGGAAGTGGCTTCTCTGCTCTTATAACCATCTCTGTAGACTTTTAATTTTAGCACAAGAGCATCCAACAATCTCACTTCATCACATCATCAGTGCAGATTTCTATTTCTGCTTCCCCGTCCTGGAATGAAATGTATTGTTTTTTACACGGATGAGGTCATCACGTTGTGTGTTCTACCGACCGGGCCTGGCACCATGATGCCTTCGTTGTCGATCAGTTGTTGCTCCATGTGGCCAAGAAAAGCTCTTTGTTTTGTCTCGCCCTGCAGCAGAAACAAAACCAAACCTTGAATCACAGTCGCTGGAGTGTGTTTCAATTTCAACCCCAATTTCATATTAAAGGGACAGTTTGACATTTTGTTAAATATGCTGTATTTGATAGGAGTTGAATCAGACAATCAATTCTCACAGCAGCAAATATGTAGCTGAAGCCAGAAGCTGGTTTGTTCAGATTAGCATAAAGATGAGAAACAAGACAGCGGGTCGCCTGGCTCTGTGCAGACGGTATCACAATAAGCCTCCCAGCGCCTCCAAAATTCATTGTTTATCACATTGCAACAACTGGTACATTTATTCCACATGGACACGGCATATTGATTTGCACAGAGATAATGCTTCTGTGAAACAAATTTGTAATGGACCGTAATTGTAACAGTAAGTACTCTGCCACTGTAGCTACATGGTGTTTTCTCATCGTCCACGTATGGACGATACCAACGTTTTCTTTTCTTTAAATTTCAGTTAAAAGCAACTCTTCAACATTTAATAGCTTCGACTCCAATGTGGGCCCAATCCTAATCTCCTTACTCATGGATTTTGAGTCGTAGGGGGTTAAATGCAAACTTTCTTGGGTGGTTTTCCTATAGTTGTCCATGGATGGCATAATGAAGAAATCAGAAAGTTAATCTGTTAATAGCAGCACCTTGTTGTGGGTATTTATTGCAAGTTTGTGGACTTGTTTGTCTTTTTACTCAAACTGTGAATGAAGCATGGGTCCAAATTCAGCTTTTTCTTTTTTTGTTTCCGAGCAGCGTTTCATGATAGTGTGTCCCATTCCTGCTTCTTCAACCATTTCGAGGCCTCATGAACTCAAACACTGCAGCTGTGACGTCAGTTCAGTCTGTGAGGGTTTTGTGCTTTAGGGCCTCGTGGTGAAAACTGGGACTGAGCTGAGATCTGCTCAGTTACAGCCTCCGTTGTTAAAAGTACACAAAAAAACTGCGACAAAAACCCACCAGTAACTGGCATCTTGACGGTGTAATTGCAGAGTGTAAATCAAGCCGTTTAGTGTTTGTAAATGTTGGATTACTGATGGTGTCACCATACCTCTTTGGGTTCTATCTCTTCTAGAATGTCCTGAAGATCTGTCAAATTAGAGAAAAAAGAAATACTGTTTAAAAAAAAAGCCACTGAGTACATCAGAGTATGGCAGTATGCCTGGTAACTAATTACATTCTAAGCTCACTTTCACAAAACGAGGTTCCCAAAATCCACAAAATCCCCGTCGAAGGGAAGAATCCCTCAGGACAGGAGCAGTAAAACGTGCCCGGTACATTAGTGCATATGGTTTGTCTGCCACATATACCAGGTGTCTCAAAGCACTCATCTATATCTGTAGAGAGAGAGAGAAAACAGTTAGGCAAAATATTTTACAGTAAACTCATATTAACCATGTGCACACACCTGTGCATGGGTTAGCGTAGCTGGCTATCACGCTCGGGTTGTTCAGCCGGTAACCGCTGAGGCAGGTGCAGACGTAAGATCCAATTGTGTTGGTGCAGTTGGCGTTAGGACCACAGATGGCGTCATGTTTGACGCATTCATCAATATCTACCAAAGACACAAGTATGAAGCCATACACCAGACATCTTTGTGCAAAACAGTTTGCTTGTAAATTGCAGTTTTCCATTTGCTAATATGATGCTTAAAAAACAAACAAAAAAAACATTCCTGCACTCCACAGTCATTCATGAGAACATCTCAGTGCAAATACCAATACAGATGTTGGTCTCGCTTGGGTCCAGGCTTGGATCAGTTGGTTCGTATCCCACCGTGCAGGCGCACTCATAAGATCCAGGCGTGTTGGTGCAGATCGAATCAGGGCCACACACGGTGGAGTTGAAACACTCGTCGATATCTGAGGAAGGAGCAGTTAGCATGGTTAGCCTGACGTTTTAATACACAAAAACACACAGGCAAAAGTGTTAAGCAAGATTTCACTGTAAAATAAACTGAGGAAGAGTTTAAAAGTTTAAATCTACCTAAAAATCAACATCAACCATGTTTTTCTATGAGAATAAGTCGGTGAAAATCTGGTATTTTTAGTCTATTTGCAAAAGCCGGCAGTTGCATTTAGGACATTTTCAGAAATAACATACACACATTTTAGTTTTGTTGTTGTTTAGTGCTACATAATAGTTATGAGTTTCTTTAAATGGAAGTATACTATTATATTGACATGATTTAACTAAATATAAGTAGGTAACATGTTGGAAATTGCAAAAAAAAACTGCCTATTAATTGGCAAATTACACTTCTCTTAGGGTATACAATTGAAATTCACAACCCTACAAAAACCCAGAGCATGTTTTTTTTTCCCACTGGGAGCGTCCGTCGGCGTCACACGTTTCAAACAGTCCAAATCACAACACTGCTGCCGTTGATTCTGTGGCCTTCATTTGCCTGATTTATTCTCACTTTAAACAAAAATAAGCACAAGTCTCGCATGAGGTCCGACACTGTACCGATACACCTTCCTACATGTTTTCCTGCACGTTCTCTGAGGAAAAAACTCAATAATTTGCAATCAACACACGACTTGTGGCTTCAACGATGAACGTGTCGATGTTTTAACCTTCCCATCATTGTCTCTTCTCTTTAGATCCGTCTTGCATCATAACATGAAAAGTTTATTGTTAAACATGACGTTTTCCCATTATTACGTCATCAAATCATGTAAATGAAGCATATTTTTCAATTCATTCATTCTTTGAACACCGTTTCTTCATCAAAACACAAGTTTCACATGATAACAATATAAATCTCGGCATTATAACTCGACAACAATCTAAACAGTGCATTCTTTTTTTAAATATATTTTTTGGGGCTTTTTGCCTTTATGTAGAGCAGTGGAGAGAGACAGGAAAGGGGGGAGAAGAGTGAGGGAGAGACCTGCAGGAAAGGGTCGTGAGCGGGATTCGAACTCACAACCACTGCATCGGGGACTGTAGACCCTGTTCATGGGTCGCCCGCTCAACCAGGTGAGCTATACGGGCGCCCAACAGTGCATTCTTTTAACTGGAAAAACTTATTGTTGGCATGTGAGAAGAAGAATGAGAATTTAAGCTGAGATTAAACTTTAATTTAGTCTCCCCAGCTGCACCAAAGCTGTGATATAAGAATTTAGAATTGCTCGTCTGACTCATGAGCTAAAAATTTGCTTCCGCATTTGTGACTGATGTGATCCACAGTAACGTTAATGCAGATTTGAATGTTGTAAATATGAATGTGTAAACAGACCTTGGCAAACCGGAACTGCGTCGGCGACATTGAGGAAGCCGTCATTGCATTGACAACTGAAACTTCCTACTGAGTTGGTGCAAGTTCCATAGTCGCCGCAGATGTTGTCAAGACACTCGTCAATATCTGAGGGGACATCATATCAGCATGAGTAAGATTATTCCATAACTAACAGTGAGGCAGACATTTTATTTTTTTACCTCCACATGGGTTGGTGTCTCTGGGGGGTTGTTCGGGATCTCCGGCCTCGAATCCATCGAGACAGGTACAGACAAAGTCTCCTGCGGTGTTTTCGCATGTAGCATAAGAACCGCAAATCGTCGGCGTCTTCGTACACTCATCTATGTCTTTGAATAGATGTTACAGACGGTAAATTTAAGGTGGGACACACAATGACTCTCAGTCATCCAGGTCATGGTTATTCTCGTAGTTTAATCGTAGCAACTGGACTTCCTTGAAGACGTTCCACCTTCATCCAAGAGGCTTCATCAGCTCTGACTGACTAGTTGGGAGTTCCAGATACTGATATCCTTATGGAGCCTTTAACACTTGAGTGGATGAGAGGTGAAACGTCTTCAAGAAACTCAAGCAGTTGCTACGATTAAACTACGAGAATGTTCACAAAATGCACGCCGTCAGTGTGAAGCGTCTCAACGTAACTCCAAGTTGAGATCAAATGAATTGTATTTACCAATGCAGCCGTATGAATCTGGCGTAGGTAGTTCTTGTGGGAGCATTTCATATCCAGAAACACAACTACAACCTCCTGAGTCGACACACTCAGCATTCGGCCCACAGGAGTCGGATTTACACTCATAGTGATCTAAACAGAGTTAATAACAAACAAACAAACAAAGATTATTCAGTGTGGAAGATGTAAAAGTCTGTCCTGTTAACTGCACATCATGGAATAGGCTTTATCCACACTGAAGTATAAAGCAAATGATGACAATGAGTGGCTTACACGTTGCATGAACCAAATAGGAATGTGGCTGTCTTGTTGGTTTGTATATGTAGAATCCTCCAGGACAGAGCACCACTTGCATTGGAATAGAATATTGGCTGCAGGAAGCAACATCACCGTATGCCGTTCCCTCTTCTACAGTTTCAGATTCATTCGTTGGATATGTAAATGCAAAATGAGTGGTGTAATGGCCGCCAGCCCGATTGCCTGTCAAGCATGCCGTAATAATTCTGTCTCCACCGATCCCTGTGAATCGCCACCACTTCCCAACAAGATGCTCGTCACCCTTTGGGAAACCGGTGAAAGAAGTTGACGTGTAGAGTTTGTTGCGCCACGGCTCAGTTATGTTGCTGTACTTGTCACAGGTACCTGCGTTAAAGGGCAACACTGAGTGAATGTCAGAAATAAAGGGTCAATTATTGGTATTTCACCAACAGACAGATGTTAATCAGCATCCATACCAGGGGGGTAAACGCCATGGGTGCAGGTGAAGAGTGAACCTAAACACAACAAAAATAAGTTATGATGTCCGAGAAGAGCCACCAGAGGTTAAGACAGCATACTGATCAAGATATCGATTATAATTGAATTTCCCTTCTGGGATAAACAAAGTATTTTTCATTTCATTTCATAATGAATTCACAAAGCAGCTCAGTTTTAATGCCTTCTAAGAAAGTATTCTCACATAAGCAGGAAATGATTAAACAGAAAAAGATGGTAGAATTAAAATGGAAGTGCTTAAATTTAACGGTGTGTACACACGTTTAATGCCAATAGCAATGTTCCGTGGTATATGTAAATCCCACTGATGTCCTTGTATGCACATCAATAAAAATATGAAACAGAAAATGGAAGTGCAGATCTGTTCTACATGCATGTATTCTATCAACACTTTACAATACTTCCCTCTACTTCACATGTGGTTAAAAAATTAAAAAGTGCATGCGTCCTAGTTGTCGGATGTTAAATTAGCATTTTAGGGCATTATGTGGCTTCAGCGGAGATAAAACAGACAAGCGTCAGTAATCTCTTCATTTAGTAAATTGATTCATTTTTATCCATTATTTAAAAAGACAAATGAACTCACCCAAGAGAAGCGAAAAAGCAAAGCAACTCATGTTCAGTCAGGTTCTACTCCACAAATCACCTGTCATCACTCCTTAAAGACGTGTATTTGTACAGCGTCCAACAGCTGTTTTTGTAAGGTTTGGCATCAATGCAAAAAACAATGCAAATATATGGTCCTGTGATGGTAAAGCTTTAAGATGAGCTCGCATCAGGACATGCAGAGGGAGATGTTTGAGGACGACTGGCATGATATTTGTGCAGAGAGACAAACTACTGAGCTTTACAAATAAAACTAAAAAACTGAGAAAACAATTAGCAGTTGTTTAGAATATTAATTATTTAATCAGGATTAAATCTTTATTCACGTCTCCTACAATATTTAGCTCTTGTGCGTTCATTCCCTTTGACTGAAAACAT